GAAATGTAAGGGACCCATAGTGATACCGACTTGAATAACTTATACTAACTGCTCAAATAGACGGTAGATTTGACGAGATTAATAATAATGGAAATAACTTTAAGCCAGTAACGAAAAGGCTTTTTAGAAGCTATAAAGTTAGAGCATTTGGCGCGATGCTAATTTCTAATGATGGGTGGAGTGAATACCTTTTTATTAAAGTAAATATTGAGTTGTTCTTGGATTGAAAAAGAATAAAAAGGAAGGAAGATAACGCAGTATTAGGGCATAAAGGCACAAATGCACAGAAATATTAGGCTAGCTTGAGAGCAATAATTAAAAGACACTAATAATTGCCACACCAAATTATTAAAGATATAGTTAACTTGAACTTACTTAGGAGTTTCCGGCGGCTTGCCCAGGTCATGAAGATCCATCCGACAGGCGAGACCGGAATCTTCACATGAGGGCCTGATAGGCCTTAAGGATAGCAGAGGCGGAGGCATTGGAGAAGAGGAAACACTCAAAGGCGGATTACTTAAGTCTTGAGTTGCCAGAGCCGCCACTAAGCCCGATGATATCACAGGACTTTTGGATCCTTTTTTCGGGGAAGACATCTGAAATAGAGGAGTGTGAGCCCGACCACTAGACGAAGCAGGAGAAGATCCGAATGGAAGCAAAGCTGGCTCTATCGAAGTTCGTAGGTCGGATCCGCTGTCACTGATAGAAGCAATGACATTCTCAGGATTCATGACAGTGGCGGCTGTTATGGGATCATTGATGTTTGAAGCCAACATAGATGCTGCCGCGGCAGCAGCCATTGCTAAGGGACCCACAATTTGACGAGAGCTATAAAGATCAGGAGAGGCACCGGGAGCCATAGTAACGCTGAGAGTCGACACAGCAAGTGCAGTCGAAGTATCACTGATAGCAACCGATGAAGGTTTGCTAGCAAAATTAGTTTGCTGGGCGCCTGCGGGACTTAAGGCATTAGTAGGACTGAAGCAGAGCCGGCGACCCGGAGTAGCAGTAAATCCAGCTTGCCCAGACCCCAAACAGAGAGTTACCGAGCGGCGAGGAGAAAACGGACAACTATTCAAGCGGAGAATGCCTGGAAAGAAGCAGTGAAATAAAAAGGACAAAGGTAGACACATAAAGAGGTAATATTATGCACTAGGTAAAAATGAAGCTTACAGAAATAAATGCCAAAAAATCCAAGGGATCAGTGAAATAATATCAGT